TTTATCCTTTTTTATTTGATTTCTAATATACATTTAATAGTAAAAATGAATTTAGAGAAGTATTTCTTAAACATAATCAGATGAATATGTACACATATTTGAACCATATCTGTATGATATTTCTTCATTTTAGTTTTTAACATAGAAACATTTTTCATAAGAAGATGTGTATAGTAAAAATGTTGCCTTTGTTTTTATTAGTCAGTTTTTTTTAATGATACTTTGGAATAATTTCTTATTCAGAACAAAACACCAGCAGATACTTTCTCAATGGAAGTGAGCTACCTATTTTTGCTTTCTTTCAGATTTCTATTGAAAATCCTGATTAAAATCCACTTTTTTTCATGATAAATCGGTATTTTCACGATAGATAATACCAAATTAATAGAAAAATGAATGGGCAATTGTTGGAAAAAAAACGTTCATCACTTGAAACTACGGGTTTTTAAATAGCTGCAGTCAACCATCGGTTCTGATGAAAAAAAGCACGGCATAGGTAGCCATACAATATATATATATATATCTACCGAGGCGATTAGGTACGAATAAATCAGAAAATGATTAATACACTATTTAAGATGCATTATGTCAATGCTCTACCATATTTAAAACCTTATTCTTAGAGTATTGTTAGATTTGACATTCGTATGTTCATACTTTCTAATATTTCAATCATTAAAATTTTTGGTTATTTAACTCATAGTCTGTAGCTTTATCTATTCTTCTTTTTTTGTGAACCAAAAGAAAAGTAATTTGATTTGATTTAATCGAAATATTTGAATACAATGTGTAAAAGAAACATAATTGTTTGATTCCTAGCATATTGATGTGTTATTAGTTAGTTAAGAAGAAACTATTCGTTTTTTTTGTTACAAATCGCTTGTTTAATTTCTATGTCTTTACAAAAAAAAAGAATTAAAAGTTCATAATTTTATATTTGTTTGATTAAAACGATTACGATTCCGTTTACGATTGCGATAACGAAGTACTATCGAATTACATAATTTATTATTACAATTACGTCCACAGGTCACATCAGCATTTGGTAATTTACAATCTTGAGGAAAATTAAGATAATCACAGATTGGTTGGTAACAAACAGCTAAAAAAACACAATCTAAAATACTTCATTCAACATTCAATTAGATATTAAACATACTGGTTAATAAAGTTGTTGCTTGAACATTACAACTAAAAAGTAGAATATATAATATTAATGATAAATAATCAAAAAATAAAATCAACAGACTAAGATGTATCACAAAAAACCCAAACAGAATTTCCTTCAAGTATTAAAAGATTTTTATCTTGTACATTCATAAAACCATGTTCCCATGAACAACCACGATAAAGTGTAAATTCATCATCACGATTAAGACGTGTATAACATTGTCCATTACATGGTGTTCCATCAATTTTTAATGTAGTACTTACATTGACACCACATAATGGATTTCGTGAATTACATTGATAACAATATCCAGCTGCTGCTGCTGAACCTAAAATATATAAATAGTTCATTTAGAATACAACATTCATTTTAATTCACTTACTTTCATTGATCAATACGAATATAGATAATAGAAAAATAATAAAGAAAAACTGAACAAAATTTTTTGTTGTTGTTATTGTTGTTGTTATTTCAGGCATCTTCTAAAATAAGAAAATGATTATTGAATGACGAATAAAATGAAATGCTTAGACGTTTATTCAACCCTGAGACTTCAATATTGTACTAGCCAACTCCTACATTTTAAATATTTGTTAATAGAGAAAAGAAAAGAAGAAAAAAAGTACGATTACATGTATAGTAGCTACGGTTTGAAACTTGATTCCAAACTTGAAAATTGGCGACAACACCATCTTATCAAAAGAACAATGACCTCCAACAGCAAGTATCGCTATATTTTTTTGAAGAAAAGTCGAAAATTATTTTACAGGATTCATATTTCATTTTGCAAATAAACGTCAAGGAAATTTTTTTATAATAATAATAATAATAATAATAATCATACATATATATATATATATATATATAAAACTGAAAAAGAAAACTAATTATTTATATAAAATATAATTTATTTATGAATCTTCAATAGATAACCTTCACAATGATGGTTTACTTAATACAGATCATTTTTCTTATTAGAAGATATTGACCTATCAATTAATCAAATATTGTGTTCAATCTTCTCCTTCATGTCTAATCCATATTGGGCAAAAAATTATTAACAGTTGTTTTTATTGTTTTATCATCTGCAATCATAAACGAAACAAGCTTTGCCTCTGGTGCAATGAATGTTGGGATTCCGTATGGTACTTGTTTATACACGACAGAATCTATGCTACCACCTACTATTATCAGCTAGATCACGATATTAACAACAAATGAAAAGGTCAATAGAATTCGTTAAGATGCATATATATACATGATGATCATATCAAGTGAATGTTATGCCTTATATTAGGAGAAAAGAAATCGATAATAATGATGGTAAATGTTGAGAATAGGAAACGTCGATCATTTGATTGTGTGAGAGAAACAAAGATAGACAGACTAAAAGATCAAGAAATATGTCGGTATTAGAATCAATGACAACGCCAGAATCAATGACTACTTCTGTGTCTTATTCAATTGATGATATGGAAGAGTAAGAGTTTTTTTTTTCTTTTTTCAATTTGTTTTTTTTTTTGTTTTAAATATATAGTAGAAAACCTAAAACCATAGTTGAATGACATCTAGTATTAATAGAGATTAATATAGAATACGAAGAAAATTTTTCATGTATTTAAAATCAAATAATAAAATTTATAGTGAAAGAAAATCATTTAATATATTATTTATTAATTGTTAAGAGGTATATGAAATATTCTTATGTTATTCATTGAGATTGAATAAGAGTGGCGTCATGACGACATATTGGTAAATTGTGGAATAGTCTTTTTCTCTCGCGTCGATTAATTTTGATTGATCCTTTCGTTTATGTTGTTGTATTTTGATGATAAATTATTTGTAAAATATATTTTTGAATATTTTTCTAAAAATCGTTAGTTTTTTTTTTATGTATAATAGGAAAATAATAGATTTTTTTTTCCAAGAATTTTTATTTCTATTCTTAATATTCTATATATTTAATTTTATTAATATTTTTTCCATTAAATAATGTATTGAGACATTAAGACAAAAATAATCAATCCAATTACGATCACTTCGTCCTTTATTTTTTTTTGCTTTCATATTCTTGTCATACAATAAATGATGATAGTCAAAGAAATAATTAATTGGTCTTATGTGTTGGTATGGTATAGTGTCGGATTGGATTGATGTTTAGAGAAAAGGAGGAGAAAAATAACAAGAAGTTCTTGGTGTTATCGATCTTTGTCAAGTCTTTCGTTTTCTTTTTCTTATCCTACACTTTTCTCTCTCTGCCTTTCTTTTTGCCAGCTTCTATCGGTCGGTACCCCCCCAAGAGAAACAAACAACAACAACAACAACAGCAGCGGCAAAAAATAGACTAGAGGTAATCAGAAAAGAATTGAAGACATGTTGAATTTTTCGGAATAAAAATCATTTGAGTAGATGACATTGTGTCAATCGTCTAGGTAATGAAAAGAAGAAAAAAAAAAAGAAAGGATCATATCGGCAATCACAATGACGATTTGTCAAGCGCAACCAATGTAACGATAAAAAGAAAAAAAAACGTCTTTTTCACCCTCTGTTCTTTTCTCGTCTTTTCTTTGCCTCGCGTGTTTATATTTGTGTATAACTCTGTGTGCGTGTGTCTATGTGTTGTTTTCTTCATTCTCTTTAGTATTGTGTCTGTTTTGTATACTTATTCATAGTGAAAAGAGAATACCATAGTGCACGTTCTCATGCTCTTATACTACAGAACAGATACATCTTCTCTCTTTTTTTCTTTCTTCTTCTTCTTCTTCTTCCTCTTCGTTCTCTATCTATTCTCAATCGTCATTTTGTAGAAATATAGTATAGAATGAAAGATTGTGTAACACCGGCACCACCTCCGCCACAATATCCCTATTATTCGCCAACATATACTCATCATCAATATAGATCGCCAGCATGGCATCATGCACTTTCATCTCCATCTCATCATTATGATTTACCGGCATTATCTAGATCATCTTATCGTTATACACCTACAACACATTATTATCCTTCACATATACATGGTAGATCTCCTCAATATCAATCGAATAGGTAAGAAATAGAACAGTAAGCTATGATATAATCTGCATTCAATTATGGTATTTTTAACTGTTGATGTTGTTGTTACTTATGCTTTTGATGGTATAATCTTTGAAGAACATATGGTTGTGCGTAGGCGGATTTGTGAAAAGAGGATATTTGTTGATGATTGTAATTGTTCTATATACAGTACTCTTACTCTTTGCCAATCTATCTAACATTTGCGTCTAACATGTCAGCAACTTACATGCAGATTAAATGCAAAATGTGTTAGTCTGTGTTGTATTCATACAGAAAAAGGCAATAAGGCCAAACATTAATCTAATGATTGAGAATACCAAGGATTTTCTATCAGAAGGTCACCAAAAAAAAGAAAGAATTTAACTTAATAGTATATTCATATAGAGATATAGTTTTGAATTTTGTATTTATAATGAATTCATATAATAAATTTGTATTTATGTATGTTTGTTCTTTAATATTTATTTTATGATTTGAATTTTTCTTTTTTTTTTAATTTTTCATCTTGAATCAATATATATGTTACAATCGAAAATCTTTTTGATTTCTTTCAATAGTAGTTCAAATTCTAAATCAATTAGAAAAATATAAGTGAATCATAAAAACAAACAAAAAACAAACAACCTTGAATTATTTATTAGAAAAACAATATTTTTGACAATTGAAAATGAATAAGAAACGAATATCAATCTTATATAATCTATCAATATGATAATGGTAGATTTGACCTAGTTTTTGTTTTTTCTTCTGTTATGTACACATCCAAGAAAAAAAAAAAAAAGTAATTTCTTTCGAAGTGTCAAAATGTCATATCTATTCTATATTCATTGACATACCGTCAGACAAGCATGGATACTTCCTCAATATAAATCTGTTTTTTTCACTGTGTCAAAAAGTTATTTATTACGCTAAATCTAAGCATGATGGGATAATTATATTGATAAGAAAAACTTTTTCTTCGTGTCTTGTAATAATCCAAAACTGAGTTACGTCAATAGTAAAAAATAAAACATGCTGAGAAGATAAGAAAAGATAAAATTAATATGTGTGACTTTAGTTTTTGTTTTGATTTATTTAGTCATATTCAATATGTTGAAGATGATGAAGATGCACGGTCGGAAGAAGGTGATGAATCAGATTCACCAAAACCATTTGATAAGTAAAGTTTTTATTTATTTCAAATAAACAAAAACAAAAGATCAAACAAATAAACTAACATTTTTAATATCATTTAGAAAAATGTTTATCGGTGGACTTTCATGGCAAACAACACCAGGTAAATGAATATTCAAATGGATCAACTAAAAATTTGTAATATAAATCGATATGAATTTCTTATTACGATCCTTATGTCAATAGTTTTGAAAAATTAAAAAAAAAAATTCATATTTACTTTATAATAATAACAGAAAATCATATGAAGAACATTTTAATACCTCGAAAAAAAAAAATGAGTGTTCCGACATGCACTAGCTCATTTATAGCTCATATCTATTACAGACCGACAAGGTTATTTTGTCAACAAAAAAAAAAAATGATCTCAGTATTCAAGGTCATGGTTATAATTTCCGTAAACCTAATCTATCAAGCTTTCCTTTTTTTTCATGTAATTCGAAGATTGAAAAGCAGAAAAAAAAAAAGAAAATTCTATGATTATCTTCTTCTAGAATTCCTTTGAGATTTGTTCTTATTCTATCAATTTTCAATGACAGATTGTTGTTTTTTCTTTCTTCATTTAAGAACATTTAAAAAATTATTTTACTCAATTCGGTGAAGTATTAGAATGTATGATTATGAAAGATGCGATTACAAAACGATCAAGGTAAATAACTATAATTTGTTATTTATATATGTATTTATTTATTTTAATCATATTCTAGAGGTTTCGGTTTTATTACATTTAAAGAAGCAAATTCGGTTGATAATGTTCTAGCTAAAGACATTCATATGTTGGATGAAAAGCAGGTATGAAATTAAATTTTTTATTTATACATCCGTTTGATAATGATCATAAGATATATTCTTAGTCTTGATTATTGTTTTATGATTAACTAAATTTGATAATGAAGGTTTTATTATTGTATATATTAAAGGTATTGAAAGATTTGATGATGATTTATAAGATGATTTTCGTATAGATTTACTTATATAAATAAATGAACCGATTAAAAAAATGAGAAATAAAATAAGACTAATTAATGCAAGTATACAATAATGTATAAAATGATGTTGAAATATTTCTGATTGATTACGATAAGAATTATTAGCAAAAATAAATAAAACTATTGTTGTTAAAAATGCCAATAATGTAAATAGAGTAAACATAAATGCAAAACGAATATTATCATTATGAATGGAAATTTCATCTTGCCAAAGATTTGAAGATCGTCTTGACATATGATAATTATAAAAATGAATATTATTCACTGAATGTTTTTTGTTGTTTAAAACTAAATTAAATGTATAAAAAAAGAAACAAAAAAGTTTTTATTTTTTTTGTTGTATATTTATCTCACAGAAAACGTGACCATTTACTTAGAAAAAATATAGAAATAACCACTCAATTCATTTTTCTTTTGATATTACCTCATCATTAGTTTTTAAAAATAGTTTTTCTCTTCTTCTTCCCTAGACAAGCATATCTGTTCTAATTCTGAATTTTTACATTTCATCACTTACATTTATTTTAACCAACACTTGATGAAGAGTCTTTTCGTTGGATATATATTTATATTTAGATATAAAGAGAAGAAAAAAAGCAACATTGCCTGAAAAACTCTAGGCAAATAACAACATTCTTTTGTTTCATGTACCGCTAATCCTAAGTCAATGCAATAAAAGAATCAATAATTAAGATATATATTTATTTGAGTAAGATAATCATACATAGACAGCGAGAGTTTCTGTGCAATGAATTCGGTATAATAATAAAAAAAAGAATAAAACTTGACGTCTATAGCAAAAACAAAAATAACGGAAAACAGACAATGAAAGATATTAAAAAGAAAACCATATCCCATTTGCTCCAAAGAAGACATGATCTGTTGTACGTGTATTTCTACTTTTCTGTTTGTTATCTTGTCTATCAAACAGATTTTTGAACATAAGCAATACCATCAATTATTGTTTAATTAACTTTACCTACAATTAACAGCTAATATAATTATTTGTCAATATACCTCAGACTTTTTTTTGAAATTTAACTGTTACAAAAAAAAAAAAGAAAATAACAAATTGTTAGTATTTATAAAAAGCTAATAAACAATCGGACATATTATTATTGACAAAAAAAAAAATTTTTTTTTTCATGCCCTCGGGCTATTCATAAATAAATAAATATACATATATATTTTTTTTTTCACACATATAAATTCTTCGAACGAATGTCGTTCTCTATAAGTGATATCATCAAAAAATAAACAACAATAATCAGTTGATCAATTATGTTTTATAAAGAAAAAAGATTAGAAAGAAAAATATATATGTGTACTCTATTGCCTTGTTTCCACTTGATTCACTTTGAAAAAATAATTCCCCTTTTGTATGACACCTTAAGCAGGATAAAAGAAGAAAGAAAGAAAAACTAGCTTTTTAGATTATCCATCTGACATATTCTATTAGTATCATATGATTGAACTTTTATTTCATATTTAGATTGATCCCAAACCGGCCTATCCTCGTCAAAAGCATCCTAAAGTAAGTGATCGTTGAAGTTTCTTTTTCTGTATATAGTCGATGTATGCATGTAAATGATGACAATTTTTATGCTCATTGCATGTTGATCTCGTTGTTGGACGAGAAAGAAAAAGCGAGACTATTATTTTATAGGAATTGATCCTATAGGCTGTTTAAAAAAAAATGACAGCAATAGCAGATCATTTGCGAGAGCGTGCATGTGTATCCGGTCTCATTCCCCCTCTCTCTCTCTTTCTCGGATGTTCACAAGATGACTAAAGAACATTCGACTTTGCTGGAGTCGAGAGATGGGGAGAGAGAGAGAGAAAGTCAAAAAAAAAAAGAATAGAGAAAAAGAAAAACAGAAAACAAACATAGTCGTCTTCATCATCGTTTTCCGTTGTAATACATCTAGAAGGAAAAAAGATCTTCAAATGTAATTAACAAAAAGAGCGAGAACGAGAAAAAGGAAAAAAAAGGCATTCACTTCGTTCAACTCATGATTATTCTTTATCGATGACAACGAGATAGAAAGAATTGATGGCTAACAAAGATACAGTCAAGATCTAACTATCTATTCTCAAGTGACGAAATCCATTTGATTTATTTTGCTTTCTTACATTTAACACTATTCTTTCAATCTAACAAATCTTTTTTTTCACATATCATTTCATACAATGAACAACGGAAATAATCATACATTAGTTTTACTCGACAGTATAGCCGCTCAAGATCTTCTTAGTAAAGCAAAGGTATGAATCATTGTTTCTTGTTGAATAATTTTACATAATAGTAGTCATATTGAATGATTATCCTTATCATAAAGAATACTCAATCGTTTGTTGATGTTCGGCTTCTTTCCACACCGTCGGCAGTAATAGCAGGAAAGAGAAAAAAGCAGTTGGTGGTATATGCAATAGTACGAGAGGAAGAGAGAGAGAGAGAAAATGAGACCGATTTAATTGAAGGATTGATTGCACCAGCATAACAACACATTCCTTCGCATTCTATCAACAATTTACACAAAATATAACGGAATAGAAAATGTAACAGCAGTGTAGCAGATAACTTATTGTTTTTTTTTCTCTATTAGAAATATGAATAACAGGTGATCGTTTGATTATCGTACATGTTAAAAAAAAAGATTTTTTTTTTTTCGTTTTCTTATTGAAAGAATTTTATTCATATATGTGATAACCTTTAACCGTCAATGGGCAATGGTCGATCGATGAACGGTATTTTTTTTTTTTTTCAATACATAGTAAGAAAGAAAGAAAGAGATGAAAGTGTAATTCACATTATTGACAACGAACTCTTTCTCACAAGCGGCGTTCTTTTGTTCCCCTGACCTGTAAAGGCCTCCAACCATCCATCATTCTCTTGTTCAGTTCAGTTAGACGTGCGTCACTGTTCGTTCTCTCAGTCACTAGCAACACCATCAACATGATCATTGTCCATCTTGTGGGTCTTTCTTTCTCCGTTCTCATTTTTTTCTTCTTCTCTCTATTGTCGTTGCCGTCGTCTTCTCGGCTCGTTTGACTCTACAATTCTGAAATTTCATAGGGTGATGTGCTGTCGATAGCAAGTATATAGGCAAGAGAGCAACAAGTAGTGTGTGTGTGTGTGTGTGTGGGCATATACGAGAGAGAATTTCAAACTCTTTCTCTCTCTCTCTCCCACTCTTCTCCGCTCGAGAGAGAAAAAAAAACACGAAGAAAAAAAGAAAGGGAGAGAGAGAGAGAGAAAGAAGATAGATTTCGTTCTTCTCCATCCAACCCACTCATTCTTTCGCACGAATGTACACATATATCGAAACGTACAGTGTACATGCAATATACACTTAGATTCATATACAATAATTGATTATCGTCCTATGATGGCTACATATATACTTTTGGATCCAAATGATATTGTTCAACAACAACAAGCAATGGCAGCGGTTGCAGCTGCTGCTGTTAATAATACGACAAATAATAATAATAATCTTTTAACTAATACTATTCCTAATTCGACTGTTTTAAACAAAAGTTCGTCATCAAACGATGTAAGTTTGAATGAACATCATTATTTTACTTTTTTTTTCTTCTTCTTCTTATTTACTGACCGAATGTGAAATGACTTTTATCTTTACCGTTATATGTCTGTATACATACATTCATCACATGTCTATTTAACTAACCTTCATGTGATTATACATATGATGTACATACATCAAGTATTGAACCTCTTTTTTTTTTTTTTTGCTTTCTTTGTCTATTTTGCTTTAATCCATCATCATCTTTTGTTTATGTGGATTGAACGCAATCGGTGGATGGAAAGTCATCTAGGTTCTTTTTTTTTTCTTACTTGGATTTACGTCACAAAGGTCATCACTAGCGGGTGTAATTTGAATATGAAATGGAAAAGAAAAAAAAAAGACTTCGATCGTATAATCAAATGAGTACGAGTATAAGTGTGCATGCATATGTATATGTGTATGTGAGAATGAGACAGAGAGAGAAAAAAACTATTCGTCGCTATTGCCAATTGATCGGTAATAGTGAGAGAAATTTAGATTCAGACATTGTCGTGTCTCTCTCTCTCTCTTTACTCTAATTAAACACAAAATGATAATGCCCAGAAGAACTAATAGAAAAATTTTTCTCTTCACTTGTTCGTTCGTACAGCTGGTAGTGCTACAACAATACCATTAGTATTGAGTGGTTCTCTTTCTTTCAGCTTTATATATATATATTGATCATTATCATCGTCGTTGATGACAACGACAAGGTTCATTAGATCGGCAATGCAACAGATTGATTCTCGGCAAATGAATAATGAGAACTAGTTGTCTCTCGAGATACCTTATGTACATATATATTGAAGTTAAGTAATGTACTCAAGGGAAAGCATAGAAAAACCGGAACTAGACAATGATGATAAATAGACTCTTACATGTAAGATCCGTAAATCCGCAAATAAATAAAGTGTTTGTGTGTGTGTGTGTGTGTGTACAAGTAATCATCGATTCTTTCCTTTTTTTTTT